TTTTTTTTTAAGAATCTAATATGAATCGTCCAGAAGAGCAATGCTAGCAACACTCGCCATTTGCACTCTCCGACCAACACTTCCAATTTCATTGGGCCACGTTCTGTTGGCTAAGAGAAGTAATCATTTCATACCGAAGCAAGCTTACGTGGCCCAATAAAAAAGCATGTGTTGGCCGGAGAGTGCAGAGGCGAGTGCCCCTAGCACTGCTCTTGTCCAGAATGAGTTGCTCTGACCTAATTTGGAAGGAAATTGCGTCCACACATAGAAAATAATTAAATACTGCATACAGCTTTCTTTTCTTGGCCTGGGCCCAGCAATTATTTAAACTTCCACTTAACCCCTGCCCTCTCAGATTGTTCCAGAGGGTTAAAAAAATGGCAGCAGGAACCAACAGAAAGATAGCAGCATCATCGGCAAGAGCTCACACCAGAACTGCTAAGAAAAGCGTTTCTTTCAAGCTTCCTTCAGGTGGAGTTCGTAGTTTTCTTCTTTTATTGAGTTTTCTGATCCAAAATCTTGTCCACATGGAAGAAAATTTTTAATGTTCAAACTTGAAATTGCAATCATTTCTCTCCAGTTCCTACAATTCAGTTGAATTAGAAGGCTTAAAAATTTTCAGGGCTATTTAAGAAGATAGTGCTGGTTTTCTTTGTGGGGATGTTGGCATGGGGTTATCAAGCCATCCAACCTCCTGCACCTAAAAAATGTGGCTCCCCAGGTGGCCCTCCTATTACAGCACCAAGAATAAAGCTTAGGGATGGGAGGTACTTGGCCTACAAAGAACATGGTCTCCCAAGAGATGCAGCCAAGTTCAAAATTGTCTTTGTCCATGGTTTTACTTCTTGGAGGCATGATGCAATCGTTGCCAATTATCCATCTCCGGTACTTATCCATCACTTCAATTCTCCCCACTGTAAATTCAACGTTCATTTTTGTGGAGATACAATTGAATTTAGTATGTTTAGTTTCATAGATGTTCGAATTTCTATCTTGGAGTTTCTCAAATTGAAGATTAGTGTCGATATGTACAGATTAAGTTGAGATTTTTATGTGGCTTTATATATAAGTTAGGATTTTCCATTTATCACTAATTGATTTTATGTTGAATGTCACGTTTTGAGGCTGACAAAACTAAATACTCTTTTCCAGGAACTTTTCAATGAATTAGGGATCTATATTGTGTCATTTGACAGACCAGGTTATGGAGAAAGTGATCCAAATCCAAAACGAACAGTAAAGAGCATGGCTTTAGATATAGAAGAGCTTGCTGATCAATTGGGGTTAGGATCCAAATTCTATGTCATAGGCTTTTCCATGGGTGGTCAGGTTGTTTGGAGTTGCCTCAAGTATATCCCTCACAGGTATTATTTCGCATTTCTCATTAGTAATGTTTAAGGTTTTAGGTTGGATGCTTTAACATGTTTCTTTCTTCTTTTTTTTCCTTCTCTTTTCCTTTTTTATCGTAACAGGTTATATGGGACAGCACTACTAGCTCCGGCTGTTAACTTCTTTTGGTCTGGATTTCCGGCAAACTTATCTAAAGAAGTCTTCAATCAACTGTTACCTCAGGACTGTTGGGCACTCCGCGTTGCTCATTATGTCCCCTGGCTAACCTACTGGTGGAACACTCAGAAATTGTTTCCACCTATGAGTGTTATTGCGGGGATTCCTGATGTTTTTTCTCAACAGGATTTGGGACTTGTGAACAAATTTGCAATAAATCATAGAGTATGCATTTCGCTAAAGCATCAGATTAATTGATTTCTTTTTTATCTACTTCACGGTTTTGCAGTCTTGAGTAGTATAGCAAAACCGGAAACATTGAATGGAGGGACTGCCGCCATCCAATGGTTTTTGATTTATGCATTCTTGCTTCTATAATTCTCGAATTTGGTTAATTCTTGTGTTATTTCTGCCTCAGGAACAGTCAACCCGGCAAGGAGATTATGAGTCCCTCCACAGGGACTTAATGGTTGCTTTTGGAAGCTGGGAGTTCGATCCCACTGGCCTGGAGAAGTCTCCGGACATGGAGGGGTCAGTGCACCTGTGGCAAGGAGATGAAGATAGGCTTGTTCCAGTTACGCTGCAACGCTACATTGTCCAAAAACTTCCATGGATTCAGTACCATGAGCTTCCAGGTGCAGGGCATATGTTTCCGCTGGCTGAGGGGATCAGTGATAACATCATAAAGGCTCTTCTAATTGGAAAGAATTAGGAATTTCTCTCAATTCAATTCAGACTATGAAATCAAAATCTTTTACTGGGGAATGTCAAATGTAAAACTTTGCTTGCCTATCTCATTGTTGGGATTTAAATGGATGTGTTTTGAAGTTTCTAGCAATATAATTCTTAAGTTTTGATATAATTTTGACTCTTTTTTCTTTGCATATTCCATATAATATCATACAAAGCGCATATTATTATATAGTGATTGAACTGGGAATTTGAGAATAATTAATAAGAATTTTGATATAATTAAAGTATTACTAGGTATTATTACGTGTATAGTTAATTTAATAATGAATTATTTGCATGTACCGTGCTTATCAAAAAATTTAATAGAGTTCCTCTGTTTTTCTTTTGCAGAATTTAAAGATATTTTTCATCAAAATTTTGGTTTGATTCGAACATGAATATGAACTGGATTTTTAGAATTAGTTTTCTGGCTTGGTTGTCTATTTTCCGAGAAGAATATTTGATCATTTGTTTGTTGCAATTATGTTTAATTATTTAATTATAAGTAATTGCATATTAATGAATAATTAGTGGTTTTATCTAAACTATTAAAGATAAGTGTTGGATAAATTTATTTATTTTGAAATTATTACAAATTAAATATTTAATAAAATTTTTTATTTAACAATTTGAAATTAATAAATAATAATTATAATTTAAATTGTTAACAAATTAAAAAAATTACTTAAAATAACTTTTTATATTAAATTATTAATGGATTAAAATTTTTTAATTTAAATAATAAATTTATTCATTTAATTAATTATTGTTATTAATTTATATTTAAAATTTTGAAAACTCATAAATCTTGTAACGAAACTTCAGGCGCTTCCGCCAAATATGATATAATTGGATTTAAGTGCATACCAAACTGATAATGATAGTTTATTTATAATCTTATTAATAAAAATAAAAAATTTTATGATATGACATGTAAATAAGTTAAATTAAATTATCATAGATAATGACATTTGGATTTTCAGCCCAATAGTATCAAATTACGTTTAAAATGCATCCTCTACCTCTTGACGATGGTTGGAATCAAGGTTTTTAAAATCGGATTGGATCGGTCGGTTAAACCGGTTGGATCGATATCCGGTGATGAAAATGATTCGATCTACATAAAAAAACCATTTAATGTCAAAATCGATCAAAACCAGTCAAAAACCGATCAAAACCAATAAAGACCAATGAAAACCGGTGGAACCGATGGAACTAGAAAAACCACCGGTTCGATTTCTTATGCAATCTTCTTTCAATTTTTTCCAATTTCACTCTTCCCATTCCTTTCTTATACCCATTTTAACCTTTAATTTTAACAAAATTACAAAATTATCAACATCAAATTAAAAAATCCATGCCTGCAGCTTACTCCTCTCATCAAATTTTCTTTGTTGTTTGGATCAGTCGGTTCATCGATTCAACCAATTGAACTGATTAAACCAAAAATCGGACCTGAAAACGGTTCAATAATCCGTCCAATTTTAAAAACCTTGGTTGGAATCCTAACCTTGCAAATTTGTTCAAAAAAAAAAAATATTATAGTAGAGAGTGTGCACTTTGCAACGAAAATCAAAATTATTGTTTCAAAAAACCTGGTCATAATTTCCGTCTCAATGCTCACGGTCATCGGTCAAACAATCAAGTGGTTTGGTGGTCACTCGCCATAAAGTGACACATACCGTCGCCTTCTTTTTTGGTTAAATTATCAATGTTGGTCCATCAACTTTTAGTTTTACACCAAGTTAGTCTTTAAACTTATAAAAATTACCAAATTTATCACTTCTGTTGACGGGAGTACCAAGTTAATAAAAAAAATAAACTCTTTTTAAAATTTCAAAACTGTAATTTCTTGGCAAGTTAATGTGTCACCTATGCAATTTCGTTGACAAAAGGGCTAAGCTAGGAATGGAAAAATAAATTTTAAAGAGAAATTTGGTAATTTTTTAAGTTTAAGGAGTACCTTAATCTAAAATAAAAAGTTTAGAGATTAAATGGTGATTTAACTTTCATTTTTGCACCCATAAAACTCATTCTTAATGGATTTTTTTTAATCTGAAGTTGAAAAAATCCTTCGTCAATTCATCCTGATTTGAAAACACGGAAGAAGTCGGCCACGCAAAATGGAAAGTCCAGAATGAGTTTCTCTAATCTACCCTTTGCGGAAATGAAAACAATTGCATATATAGAAAACAATTAAATGAGTGTTTCACAAAGCTTAAAAAGGAATTATTTATTTATATGTTCTATTGTTTTATT